AGCGACTGTATATGACCAGTTCAGTGGAACGAAGAGCAATAAGCATCCATTCATGTGTTCTTTAACGACGGGGTGAAGGGGAACATAAAAATCCTGTTGTAAATGGAACTGTATACTACTGATTGCCTCTTCATACTGGTCCTTTAGATATTTGATAGGTAGATAAATGGGAACTACTTCACAGAATAAGTGGTCACTATGGAGGACATGGTTTCATTTTCTCATGACAACTGATCTCTAGGCAAAATTTAGCTAACATGTGGCCTAGCATCATCACACGGAATGCAAATCCAGCCCGTAACATAATCAGGTTATCGCAAGGACACAACAGGTAGTGCTTCATCCTCTCGGAAGACCCGGAGTACATTTTGGGATGACAGTCATGCTTATCTTCCGGGGAATTCGGTAGACGTTGACTCACCCTGAAGTACATGCTAATCACCTAAGACTGAGTCAGGACTATGGACATTTATACATGTACTTTTAAATGAACCGAAAACCTTTATTCGTTACCTCAATATATTAGTGTATTAAAACGGGATGTGCTACCCTTTGTGTATGAAATCTCATTCAATCAAAATCCGAATTAAATAATAATGAGAACTAAAATAGAACCGGAATCGATTTGGCTAATGTGCTAGCCCCCTGAAATAGTACCTCATTGATGTCAAGAATCCAGGTGATTTGCATTTGTCGAGATTCTCGGATATTGCCATCATAACGTGGGAGGAATCTGCATTTTCGTTGCGTTCTAATCAAATGATTCTTCACTACTAGCTAGCACCGCTGGAATACCATTATCCAAATGGACCTTTCCGAATCAACACGCCTTCTGCCTGGAGTTGTTCAATCACGGAAGGGGTCGAAGATATAAAGTGATGTAATTTTTTCGGTTTCAAACGATGAAGTTGCAGAACAAACCATTAAATAAAAACGAGCTGTAATACATTCCTGGTTAGTGACTTTCCATATATGTTCAGGCAGCCACTGAACAAAGGGGCACGGGAGACCGAAAGCAAAATCTTTTCATAAATCACGGTCTGACCGAAAGATAACAATACTAATAATAATAATAATAATAATAATAATGTCTGAATCCGGAACAGATTTATCGCCCAAGACTGACAGAGGAAATTGCTTCTAGAGAAGCTATCGCTATCACCAAAACCCTTAGACCGGCATTTATCTAGTTGCAGAGCTCAATCCTAAAGGAATCAATTGATGGCCCTGGTGCAGATCCCGGAGAATATAATGATCATCGTTCGATTTTGGAATTTCAAAAGTTTACCGTCTACTCTGGTCGTTTCTTACTAGAATCTAATTAAAAGATTGGTTTTCGAACGGAGTATCGCAGGACTAGACTTTTCCTGCATTACATAATACATTTCAAATTGATTTTTGAATTGAATAAATCCTGAGATATTTCGAATTACTTCAAGAAAAATCAAAGGAATGTTTATTCTTTCTCCTGTTATATAATACTATGACTCAAAACTACGTGATCTGTTCCACCAGAAATCATGTTACTTTAAAAAGCATTTCAGATCTGTGGATTTGGTTGCGGATTGAAATCGGTTTTAGGCAATGTTGGGAAAGTACCCTGAAAAGCTGACAAACGGTATACAGCTCTGTCATTGTTGTACTGTATTTGATTTTAAATTTTGTAAATGTGATAATGTGTTAAAACCGTAAGCTCATTGTGTTTGTGCACTATGAACAATGTTAAAATTAACCGATTATCGATGGCTCTATGCAGTTGTTTAAAAGTCTCTCGCCAATATGTGGTGATAGAATCAGTTTTATCCCATGTGTTTTTACACATGATAGAAACCGCTTGAAACGTGTTGTTGCGTCGCTTTGCATAAGACTGATTCGAAACTGACACAGTACCAATCGCACTCTGAGTTCTACTGTGCCTAATCCTGTGACATTCCACAAACCGAGCAAAGAAGTTTGTAATCATTCTGCAGTGACAGATTCCGCTAGAGCTTGCTGGGTGAGAGAAATGGTATTGGCAGTAATTTGCCTTGCATTATCGCGAAAAGCAATCCCGAGCGACAATTGCTCGCGTTTTGTTGAATAACAATTTATGCAAACAAGGTCGGGACGGGGAAGACACACAACATAGCTTGATCCGGATAGTCAGTCTTGACAAGATACGTTCCATCACCAATCCGATGCAGAATGAGAATACGGTTGATCGGCGCGTTCTGCTTATTTTGTGCACACACACAGACGCACTCAGCTGGCAAGCAGCACATATGGCTGGGATTAATTTCTGGACTGGCGCTTACGGATACTTTTCTCGGAGATTTATTGACCGACTGCGCTCTGCTTCACACTACCTCAGAGTATCACTTGCTTTTTTACGAAAAAATGGTCTTCATGCTTCTTTTAAAAGGAAGAAAATGTTGCGTTGATTCCCCTGAATGTA